TATTATTATTGTTATCATTATTATTTTATTTGGGTGTATTTTGTATTAAAATTTTTATTTACTATGAATAATTATTATTATTATTACATTTTTGCCCCCAGGCCCCGATGGGCTAATCCCTGTTAAAAAAAAAAAAACTTTCGGTTTTCGGAATTTCGGATAAAGGGTTGTCAACCTGTATTATCTTAATATACATTGCAGTGGCTGCCGAGTGTCCTTTTTGTAATCAAGCAAACTATTTCATTATTTTCAAAGTTAACCTATTGGAGTACTTCTGTATCAAATTGTGTATTATTTTCTTATATTCGTGACTTTAATATGCCAGTTACATTTTATGTACAGGAACTGTACAATTGTTCGTACTTTGCTTAATGTGAAAAGTATCGGAATCGCTTTTTAAATGCTGTACCTGTACAGTATTAAAAAAAAAATTATACATATATATGTATGTATATATATATATATATATATATATATATATATATATATATATATATATATATATATATATATATATATATATATATATATATATATATATATATATATATATATATATATATATATATATATATATATATATATATATATATATATATATATATATATATATATATATATATATATATATATATATATATATATATATATATATATATATATATTTTTTTTTTTTTTTTTTTTTTTGGGGGGTGGGATATACATACGGTATTGTTAAATGTTTGGACTCAAAACTTCATTGAATTTTGTGCATTTGGCATTTTCACATCCTCTAGATTTGTGTGCTTTTCATGAATAAAATTTCACCTCTACAAGGTGTTTCTTCTATGGTTAAGCATTCAGTGCCCAGACATTCTGCACAAACTTGAGCCTAAGTCAAAACTCACCAAACCTTTTGCTTGTAAACAGTTCTGGAATATGCAGTAACACACAGCTCAACAAAGTTGTCAGATAAAGGTCTTACTTCGTCTGCTGCTTGTGCTTCAGGCTTTTTTTAATGAATGCCTTTGGCTCGACTGGAAATTTTGAAATTACAGAACTGTAAAGTACTTGTATTTAATTTAATATGTTATTTATAATGCTTTTAGTTTGATTTTATCATTTAAACACTTGGCTATCCTGCTTGATTGAATAGTTATTACTAAAAAAAGTATTAATGAATAATAGAAATTGCAATGAAATTATACTTGCCAGTAACTAAAATGGGATATATTTATTTGAGGTTTATTTCAATCCTTTGATGGGGTGTCCATTGATAGGTTATTTAAACTGTCAAATAATATGTGTGTACTAAAACCATTTCCAAGATTGATTTGTAGATAGTCTAAATCTACTGTCAGTACAATGCAGTAAGAATACATTCCAATTTCCACATCTCATTTTTCTTTCCTGTACAGTATATACAGATGTAAATTTGAGGTATGTTGATGAGGAACCCCCATCATTATTCCTGTCCTTGTAATGATTAATTACTGTATTGTCAAAATATGAAATAACTTGGCTGATCATAGTGATTTCCCTACTCTAGCAGCACTTTGTTTGTTTGCTTAATGAAAGTGTTAATGGCTGTTAATGTGAGGCACATACACATGTATTTCTTTAAGATAAAAATATGCATCTTTTGGACTTCTTTTCTTTATAGCAACTCAAGTGTACAGTAGTTGCTATTCCTATCTATGTTTTATTTCTTAAAGTTATGCTCACTTAAGCACCATAGGTCTCATATGCATCTGATACAGTAATGTCAACTTGCTAGTACAGTAGATAGCAATGGAATTTTTATGACATAGTATGCACATCTCACACTCCTCAAATGGTTCTAGACTCTTTCACTTAAACCTCTTTTCTGCTCGGCAGAAGGTGGAGAGAAGGATTGCAGGTTTTGATGATAGAGGAGAAATTCATATGGTAATAGTATTGGCTCCTTTTGATTGGGTTGTGGATGAATATACTGTACCATATAATGACTCTAGTAGTAATAATGGCTGAGAAAAAGTTACTCGTAAATTTTTCTGTAAGGTCTTACGTTATATAAGTTAGACTGTTTGTTGCTTCACTTTCAAACTAGATTGAACAGGTATTACTTGAGTGGGAGAACAGTTTGATACAGTATGTAATTTCACACTCACTTTGCTGTTGGTAGCAGTTTTAAGGATTTAATAAACATTTGTGCTTGGGAGTTACTGTACTATATCTTTTACAGACTTAATGGCTTCGTAGATTATATATTATAACTCACCAGTGAATACGTACCTGTATTTATTTTGTTATTTTTTATTGCTCTACAGTATTGAGTGTATCAGAATGATCAAGACTATGTATTCAAGATAGTTTTGTGAATAGGAAAAATATGAACTTTCACCAAGTCATTTTTCTCTTAAATACAGTATACAGCGGAGCACTAACGAAGTGTTGATATACCTTCCACATGAGAAAGTAAGTACATAACTTGCACACTTGGTTTTCATCTAATAAAAGTATGAAAGGTCCTAAGTAATGGAATTATGGGTTTCAATGATTGCTTCTAACTTTGTCAGAATGCCACTAATGGAGATCTTCCATGTCTCAATATTAATCTGGAGGAACTTTTGATTCCTCTGTTATTCATCCATATGCAATAGAATTAGTCAATGGGAGCAATGTTTTGTTTTGGCACCTACTTCCATCAGGGACAATGCTAATACTGTACTGCCTGTTTCTTAGGTTGATTTATGAAATGCTAACACCTGAGGTTAGGTTTGGAAGCATTTCAAAGATTTTTTGGAAAGTTGTTCCAGATTCATATTTTATTAATTATTCCTCAGGTTCTGAAATTAGATGATCATGCATAAGCAACTTGTAAGTGTTCATTTGTTGGACCTCTGGGGGAGGGATTTTGTTATTGTCCTTTCAATGTATTTTGCAATCTATCAAAGTTTTTATAGCCCGGTGTCAAGCCAAGAAACCCACGATTTTATCTATCAAGTCTATGGATTGCAACCTTGGTTGTCCGACCCCAGTGATATTTACTTTTATTTAAACAATTGATACAACTCTAGAAACACCCTTAGCCCTAAAAAAATGGTCTGGTAGATGGAGGTTTGTCATTTAAAACTTGAAGGCTAATACACCTTGTGTATGTATCTTAACCTTGTTTTCCTTTGTCCATGTTGGATTCTATCTTGAGGCATTGAGGTCAGTGATTTCTCCTCTTGAATTTGGTTATTTTATGGACAAATCAACTTCACAAATAAGCTAAGTTGTGTTTATGCCCAGCATTATTAGCATTGCAAGATATACAAGGTTTGCCCATAATTTTCTGTATTTTTTTTACGATAACATGAATTTCAGCCTTTCTTTATTTGCACTTTATAATACTGTATATTTAATTTTTATTGACAGTTCAAACTGCCTTGTGTAACAACAACAACAAGTGTAACTTCTGGACTCGTAATTTAAGTAATTTAGCTTCTACGGTATTTCAGGATAGTACAGTGTACAGTATTTGTCAACCAGATGGCTATCATGTCCTTGGAGTTAGAATATCCAGTTTGAGATCTAAGCTAATGTTATAGGAAGCCCTCATAGGGGTTTTGGTTGGGGTTAGCTAGAATTATTCTCATGGGTTAACATACAATCAAAAAATTTGTTTTTCAGTAGTAGCCATGGGAAACCCTGTTTACAGGTTCGTTGTTCAGTCTTAACGAGAAAAGTAAGGTTGTGACTAGTCTGCAGAATAACCTTGCTGATATCCAGCTTGACATCCGTGAACTAGTTACACAAATGCTGTAACAATCTGTAAACCTAAGCCACAACTAAGTTTGCCCCTCCAACAAAAATATTTTAACTGGTGGGTCGTCTTTTGATCTGTGTTGCCATGCCGCAGACAGTTGATGTAGATGTATATTGTCTAAAGATTTAAGGGAAAATTTTATATGACACCCTCTCATTATACAGTACAGGAGCTCACCCCATATATGTGACAGGGTAAATTTGACAATGTACAGTAATTCATAGAATACAGTACAGTGGGGTATGCTATAACGAACGGATCCTACTACGAATATTCCTATAACGAACGGTTTTACCTATAAAATTGAGAATGCTATAACGAACGCAACTCCTACAACGAACGCAGATGAATACGGGACTATTTCGCCTGGTGCATGAATATTGTTGTACCGCGACCCACAACAAGAGCGTCAGGCGCCATCTTTGTCTCATTGTGTAGCCAGTGCACCACTGTTATTGTTGAAATTTCGTCTTTCGATGTGGAAATTCGCGTTATTTGTATAACTATTTTGTTATACAAGTATACAATTGTAACAATGAGTCGCCCAAAGCGAGTGAGAAAGCTAATAACCCTTGAAACTAAGAAAGAAATTATAAAGAAACGTGAGAATGGAAGAAGCATTGCGAAACTTAGTGATGAATATGGGATGGCTAAATCGACTATATGTACGATTTTGAAGAATAAAGAGGAGTTAAAAACTGTGCAAGTGGCTAAGGGAATCTTTAGACTTAGCAAAGCAAGGTGTAATGTGATTGAAGAGATGGAAAATTTACTCTTAGTGTGGATAAAGGAGAAAGAAATGGCAGGTGGTAACATTAGTGAAGCTATAATTTGTGAGAAGGCTAAACAATTGTTTGAGGACCGTAAAGCCAAGACTCCCAGTGGAAGTGATAGTGATGTGCCAGTGTTTAGGGGTACCTGCATGCTGAATAACACTAAGGTAAGATAAAGTACCGTATTTTTTACATTTTCCACAGAATTTTTTCAGTGTTAAGCGGTTGTATTTGGGGGCCTGGAACGGATTAATCCTATAATGAACGAGGTTCTGGAACCAATTACGTTCGTTATAGCATACCCCACTGTACAGTACTGTATATAAAAATCTTTACTCTACAATCTTGTCTTATATTAATTCAGATTGTCACTAAACTGCTCTCTCTCTTTCTTTAGCAGTGTATAGTGTACTGTACTGTATACAATTTTTGGATAGTCTTTTGTAAGATTCATCAATGGTATAAAATTTTATACCTGTATACTGTATTGTGAAAGTTACTTCACATACATTTCATTCGACCACTTTTCAAGAAGTACACTGTACAAATATCAAACAAAAGGCAAGTCTGAAAGCCCAGACACATTATGCAAGGCTAAGTAATACTACGTGGAACTGACTTTATACAAGTGTTACTTTGATACATACAATATACTGTATCCGTAGCTTAATACTGTACAAAGACAAAAAAGATACCAATATTCAAAAAGAGATAAAACTATTGACTGTAGTAACCATGATGAAAAAGAGTGAATGGAGTACACCTTTTTACTTAAAGCACAAATTCCATTATCAAACCCTTATGAAAAAAAAATTAATGCCACAATGTACAGTACAGTACTGTACAGTATCTGCCTAGTTTATGTTAACAGCCACACATACACTGACAGCTTTACACTGTTGTGTGCTGATTATTATTATTCACTGTTAAAAAATACAGAATACTGAAAAAGGATAGTTTTTTTTTAAATAATGAAACTACAATAATAGGAAACACAACAACATGAAGACTGGATGCACTGATTGAAATGATATTTGTACTGTACAGTATTAATGTTGCTAATGTACCTAAGTTACTGAAGAGCAGATTGTAGTAGTATAGTATAGGCCTACAGCAGTATGATAAAAAAATGTTTCATAATTCACATTTCATACATAAACACAATCTAATAAAGATAGCAAAATCTTTTCAATATTTTATGCATTATCATCAAAAAAAATTTGGTTAAAACTTTATTGGTCTTGAGGGTGATCCAGTACAGTACTGCACTGTTCAGCCTTATTCGCTGAAGCCCCTCACAACATTCAATAATTAATAAAACATAAAATATCTATTAAAAGTCCAATAATAATTTGAGCCCTTCACTCCATGTGATAATGACTACCTGTTTTGTGTAAATGAAAATGAAGAGACCAGAGGCAAAGAATACTTCTACGTAAGCTCCACTTTGGTAAACCTTGAGCACACACTAATGCTTGGATGCACGGGGGAAAAAAATCATATTACAGTTGGTGAGGCACTTACTAAACCATCCACACACTATCAATTGTAACACCAATATCTTCACTGTCTTTAGTCATACAGTTAGCATTTTGACTTTACAACAATACAGTATATCACATAGCACAGGCCAGAGTATTGTTTTAATTTTTAAATTGGGTATATTAAAGTTTTGGTATAACTCCTCGAATACTGTACAACCCTGAAAAGAATCTTGTCTGTTATCTCAATGTCGTATTTTGTTAACTGTTGTGTATGGTCAAGGAGACGATTTCTAGAGTTCTTGGTGTTCATAATCAAGGTTCATCATATCATCATCATCTGTTTCTTCTGTAGTACAGTTTCCTGGGAATACCTCCTGTGGGAATATGACATAGTGGTAGACTTTAATAACAAGAACTGACAATGATAATGAGCAAGTATAATGTGTGTCACTCTGCCCACTTCATTTCATAAGACCTCAGAACACAGTATATATCATAAAAATATTTGTTTCGAAGCAAGGTAAAGGAAAAGGATCCCATATGGTCAATATGTACAGAAATTATTTCTTCCTCAGTAATTCAGCAGTTTTCTCAAGACCTTTAATACTGTACTTGCAAGTCAGAAAAGCAGCTGTACATAATACCTGTACTTCTATCCACATAAATATTCTGTACTAGGAGTGTCACACAGTATCTATTGTCCTCATAAAAAAAATTATATTGAATTGCATCATTAACAAAAGGTGGTCCTTCTTACACATAACAAAAATTTTTATCTTCTAGGTGAAAACATTATACTGAACTAAAGAGTACTGTACTTATAAAAAGTAATAATTTATAGCTTAAGTATAGAGAACTATACCTGTATACCATACACAATGCCATCCATGTGCATCGTACTGATGGATATTATACTGTACTCGGGAAATATGATGAATTAAATATTTTCATAGTCTTACCTTACACTGGTCAGTGGTACCAGAAATGGCCTGCACAGTTTTCACTAACAGTGAAGAGTCAGACTCCTCAAGGACTGGACCTGAGGCCAGCACCAAACTGAAATGTGGAATGACACATACATTTGAGAAGATAATGCCTCACCTAGAATCAAGGTGTTAATTCACCACTAAACTGCTGCTGTTAAAAAGAAAGAAGAATCACAAAAATCTAACATAATATAACAATGCATTCAAAATAGATTTGTATCATAAAACAAAAGTTCATTCCACATGTATTTCTTCATACTTACCCATAACTTATATTTTATTAAACTAGGAAAATGTAAAGTGGAAGGTTTTCATTTTTATGTAAACTTCAGTAGAGTATCACCCGTTTTTTCAGTCCATTCATCAACCTCATGTAAAAGAAACCACTCATAACTGATTTATAAATTTATAACAATTCCCATCTTTACATTTGTTGTTCGCCCCCCACACACACACACATAGTGCTGACCACACGTGCCATCACTAGTGCTGACCCCACACACCCATCACTAGTGTTGACCCCCATACACACACCTCACTAGTGCTGACCCCCACACACTCCATCATTAGTGCTGACCCCCACACACTCCCTCACCTGTGCTGACCCCCACACACGCCATCACTAGTGCTGACCCCACACACACCCTCACTAGTGTTGATCCCCACACACACCCTCACCAGTGCTGACCCCACACACCCATCACTAGTGCTGACCCCCACACACTCCATCACTAGTGCTGACCCCCATACACTCCATCACAGTGCTGACACACCCCCTCACCAGTGCTGATCCCCACACACACCCCACCAGTGCTGACCCCCCACACACTCCATCACTAGTGCTGACCCCCACACACCCATCACCAGTGCTGACCCACACTCCATCACTAGTGCTGACCCCCACACACTCCATCACTAGTGCTGACCCCACACACCCTCACTAGTGCTGACCCCACACACCCTCACACCCCACACTCCATCACTAGTGCTGACCCCACACACCACACACTCCATCACTAGTGCTGACCCCATACACTCCATCACTAGTGCTGACCCACACTCCATCACTAGTGCTGATCCCCACACACACCCTCACTAGTGCTGACCTCACACTCCATCACTAGTGCTGACCCCACACACACCATCACAGTGCTGACCCCACACACACCCTCACTAGACCCCACACACCCATCATTAGTGCTGACCCCACACACTCCCTCAGCTGACACACACGCCATGTTGACCCCCACACACACCCCTCACTAGTGCTGACCCCCACACACACCTCACAAGTGCTGAACCCCATACACTCCATCACTAGTGCTGACCCCCACACACTCCATCATTAGTGCTGACCCCCACACACTCCCTCACTTGTGCTGATCACACACCCCACACTCACACACCCTCACTAGTGCTGACCCCACACACCCATCACCAGTGCTGACACACTCCATCACTAGTGCTGATCCCCACACACTCCATCACCAGTGCTGACCACACACCCCTCACTAGTGCTGACCCCACACCCCATCACCAGTGCTGATCCCCACACACACCATCACTGGTGCTGACTCCCCACAATCCATCACTAGTGCTGACCCCCACACACACACCCTCACTAGTGCTGACCCCCACACACACCATCACTGGTTGACCCCCACACACTCCATCACTAGTGCTGACCCACACACTCCATCACTAGTGCTGACCCCACACACCCATCACACTAGTGCTGACCCCACACACCCATCACTAGTGCTGACCCCACACACTCCTCATTAGTTGATCACCCCCTCACAGTGCTGACCCCCACACACTCCATCACCAGTGCTGACCCACACACTCCATCACTAGTGCTGATCCCACACACCCATCACTAGTGTTGACCCCACACACTCCATCACTAGTGCTGACCCCACACACCCATCACTAGTGCTGATCCCCACACACACCATCACTGGTGTTGACCCCACACAATCCATCACTAGTGCTGACCCCACACACACCCTCACTAGTGCTGACCCCACACACACCATCACTGGTGTTGACCCCACACAATCCATCACTACAGACCCTCACCAGTGCTGACCCCACACACTCCATCACTAGTGCTGACCCCCACACACCCATCACTAGTGCTGATCCCACACACACCATCACTGGTGTTGACCCCCACACACTCCATCACTAGTGCTGACCCCCACACACCCATCACAGTGCTGACCTGACACCCCACCACCCCCATCACTAGTGCTGACCCCACACACCCTCATTAGTGCTGATCCCACACACACCCTCACTAGTGCTGACCCCCACACACTCCATCACTAGTGCTGACCCCCACACACCCATCACTAGTGCTGATCCCCACACACTCCATCACCAGTGCTGACCCCACACACTCCATCACTAGTGCTGACCCCCACACACACTAGTGCTGATCCCCACACACACCATCACTGGTGCTGACCCCACACAATCCATCACTAGTGCTGACCCCCACACACCCCTCACTAGTGCTGACCCCACACACACCATCACTGGTGTTGACCCACACAATCCATCACTAGTGCTGACCTCCACAGACCTCACTAGTGCTGACCCCCACACACCCATCACTAGTGCTGACCCCCACACACTCCCTCACTAGTGTTGACCCCACACACTCCATCACTAGTGGAACAAGCTTAGCAACTTTGTAGTAAGTGCTGGAACTCTGGAAAGTTTCAAAAGGAGGCTAGATAGATTCATGATGATAGAGTGGTAGTAACTCTCGAGAGCTGCCATGCACAGGCCAACCGGCCTATTGCAGACTCCTTATTTCTTATGTTCTTATGTCATGTCTTAGTGCTGACCCCCCCACACACCCCCTCACACCCCCACACACCCCTCACTAGTGCAGACCCCACACACCCATCACTAGTGCTGACCCCCACACACCCTCACCAGTGCTGACCCCCACACACCCTCACTAGCTGACCCCACACACCCTCACTAGTGCTGACCCCCACACACTCCCTCACCAGTGCTGACCCCACACACCCTTCACTGGTGCTGACCCCACACACTCTCTTACTAGTTTTGACCCCACACACTCCTTCATTGGTGCTGACCCCCCACACACCCTTACTAGTGCTGACCCCCACACTCTCTTTCTAGTGTTGACCCCCACACACACCTTAACTGGTGCTAACCCCCACACTCTTACTAGTGTTGATCCCCACACACTTTTTTGTTGCCCCGCGCCACTTATCACAGTTTTCATTATTAATTAAAAAAAAGTCTGTCTCCTTGTTAGTGTTTCGGTAACTGACACTTTAATAATAAAATATTCATAAAGAAATACATGACACACGGAGACATCTTCCACAGACAAGGAAAAGGTCACCGTCACCTCAATCACCATATTGACTTGACCTGACTACAACCTTTTTTCGCCTGGGGTTGTTTTTGTCAGTTTCAAACGTTGTGTATTCTTGCTGAATCTTGTGTATACACTGATATGCATATGGACTTACTAGATGTTTTCCGTTTCATGATGAACAAATTTGTAAACAATTCATCACCGTAATTTGCACAATAATTTTACGTGTTGGGCTTGATAAATCTGTACAAACAATCTATCAAGAAGTCCAGATTACTATTTCCCTCGTTGCTAGGGATTTAAATTTGCTAGTAAAATAGTCCATTGTATTTAGGTTGAGAAAAATCTGGTCAATGGTTAGTTATTTTTCTCGGACCTGGAGATGTGATGTATACAAATTTGAAATAGGTTTGTACTTTATAACCTTCTAGCTTGGATCGTCTTAGTTTGGTGACGTATTGCGACGGGCTAGTAAAATGATAAAGGGCTTGTCAAGTGAGATGCTTACTCGTCTTATTGGTTAGAAATTAAAAAAAATCATCATTATTCTTGTTTCTACTGTAGATTGCTTACTAAATGCAAGTCTCACAATTGATTTCCTTTTTTGCACCTTCAAATGTCTTCATAGTGTGTTTTACGTCGAGTTAAACTTAGGACAGTACACCAAACAATTCCTTTCCCCGCTGAAATACGAAGAATAGATAACCTTTGGGTGATAATCTTGAATTTTGACCGGGGTGTGCGTGAGGTCGTCTCGGTTAATACTTATAAATCTGCGTCAGCTGCACACACCTGCAGGTGGTGTTTGGTCACACTAGACTGCGTCTCTCAGGTGCCTAGCCACCCACACTAAAAGCCAACGTCCTCACCACCCCATCTACTTTTTTCCTTACTTCTCCTGTCTCCCCACCCCTTCCTTTCCTCCTCTCTCTTTCTCTCGCATATACCGTCCCTTCCCCTCCTCTATTTATCTATCATCCCTTCGTATATACACACACACATACATAAGAACAGAAGAATGGAGGAAACTGCAGCGGGCCTATTGGCTCATACTGGGCAGTCCCATTTATACCCAACCCCCATCACTCATATATCCATCCAACCTATGTTTGAAGCTATTCAGCGTATTCGAGTTAATGATGATATTTGGTAACTTGTTCCATTCATCCACTTCTCTGTTTCCAAACCAGTGTTTACCAATTTCACGCCTAAATCTAAATTTGTCTAATTTAAAACCATTGTTACGAGTTCACTCCTGGTTGGATAGTTTGAGTACCTTTGTAATGTCCCCTTTGTTTAGCCCTGACTTCCACTTATACACCTCTATCAGGTCGCCCCTCGCTCTACGTCTCTCGAGGGAGTGCAAATTAAGATGCTTTAACCTGTCTCTATACTCAAGGTTCCTAATGCCCGGGATTAGTCTTGTCATTCTCCTCTGAATTCTTTCCAATGATTCTATATCCATTCTGTAATACGGTGACCAGAACTGAACTGCGTAATCCAGGTGTGGTCTCACAAGAGCAAGATACAGTTTTAGGATGACCTCGCTAGTCGTGTAACTAACACTCCTTTGTATGAACCCAAGTACTTTATTAGCCTTGTTACGAGCAAAAACACATCGTTTACTTGGCTTAAGGTTCCTACTTATCATTACTCCTAAATCTCTCTCGCAGTCGGATTTCTCTATGGCATCATTGTTCATCTGGTATCTGGTTTCCCTGTTTACATCTCCTATACTGAGTACTTTACATTTGTCCACGTTGAATTTCATCTACCATTTTTCAGATCATTCGAAAAATTTGTTTAGATCTTCCTGTAGTTTTGCTGAGTCCTCGTCAGATTTAATAACACGTCCTAGTTTAGTGTCATCAGCAAATTTGCTGTCTATGCCGATATCTATGTCGTTTATGTATATAATAAATAATAATGATCCAAGTACTGAGCCTTGGGGAACTCCACTTGTGACGTTGCTTCAATGGGACTTAGTGCCGTTAATGCTCACTCACTGTTTCCTGTCCTGTAACCACGCCCTAATCCATTTAAGGATGTTACCTTTGATGCCATGAGCTTCTACCTTTCTAATTAGTCTTTCGTGGGGGACTCTGTCGAAGGCTTTGCTAAAGTCGAAATATACCACATCATAATTGTGCCCCTCGTCCACCGATTCGAAAACTGATGAAAAGAATGTTAATAGATTAGTTAGACAAGAACGTCTGCTTGTGAAGCCATGCTGGGAATCATTGATCAATCGGTGCTTCTCCAGGTGATTTCGAATAGAGTTTGAAATGATTGCTTCCAGTAATTTGCCTACTATTGGTGTTAGACTGATTGGGCGGTAGTTAGAGGATAGTGATATATGCCCCTTCTTGAAAATTGGTATTACATTCGCTATCCTCCAGGATTCTGGTACTACACCTGTTTTTAAGGACATGTTAAACAACTTTGCTAAGGGCATACTAAGCTCTTCCTTACATTCCTTTAATACTCTGGCAAATATCTCATCGGGACCAGGTGACTTATTAGGCTTTAGTTTGTCTATTTGCTTACTAACATCGTTACTAGTCACTACTATCTCGCTTAATTTGTTTTCTTCACTATCTCTGAATAGAGTCGGTGCCTCGGGTATCATGTTTAAATTTTCGATGGTGAAAACTGTTGAAAAATATTTATTCAAATTATTGCTCATTTCTCCGTCGTTATTAGTGAGCTCGCCGGTATCTGACCGTATTGGTCCAATCTTTTCTCGTGTTTTAGCTTGATACATTTGGTAGAATCCTTTGGGGTTTGTCTTTGCCTCCCTTGCTATCCTTACCTCATTATTCCTCTTGGCTTTCCTTATCTCGGTTTTAACCCTACTCGCCAATATCTTATAATAATCCTAGAGGTAAATTTCGCCACGCGTTATCCTTCTACCTATAGCCTTCCTTTGGCCAATGATGTTCTTTAAATAATTATTTATCCATTTAGGGTCATTGTTGTCTGATCTGAGTTTTTTGTATGGTATGTTCTGCCTTTGTGCATTAAGTAACTCATTATTTAAATTGTCGTGGAACTCGGCAGTCTCAGATGTCGTTATCAGGTTGGAGTCATCTGTCAGGTTCACGGCCAAGCGCGACACCCCCTCTCTCAGCTGTCTCTTTAAACTGTCAAAGTTTGTCCTTCTGAAATCTGGTACTTTAGTGGAATTTTCCTTACGTCTGCCCTGAAAATCTAACTGGAATCGAATTTCTTTGTGATCGCTGTTGGCAAGTTCGTTCCCTACCTCGACATTGCTAATGAGGTTTTCTCTGTTCGACAGAACTAAATCGAGTATATTATTACCCCGTGTGGGTTCGGTTATATGTTGACTTAGGAAACAGTCCTGGATCGTCTCGAGAAAATCCTCTGATTCTGAGTTACCCGTAAGGTCAGTCCAATCTATTTGGCCAAGGTTAAAGTCGCCTACAATACAGACTTTGTTGTGTATGGAAGCCCTGGGCATTTCATCCCAGATAAGTCGCTCATTGACTCTACCAAGATTGGGAGGTCTATATATTACTCCTGTGATTAATTTTTCCCTACCGTCGCTTAATTCTATCCAAATTGTTTCTGTATTCCGCTCAGTTTTTATTTCCTTATTTATTTCACACTTCAGATTATCCCTAACATAGATTGCTACTCCGCCTCCTTTCCTGGTTTGCCTATCGGTATGGAACAATTTGTAGCCCGCAATTTGGTATTCGACCGGCAACTCGCGTGAGCTAGGTTGATCCATGTTTCAGTGATTGCTATTATATCGATTTTTTCGGTACATACCAAGGCCCTAATATCATCCATTTTGTTTCTCATACTTCTACTGTTCGCGTAGTAGACATTTAAGTTAGTCGTGTTCTGAGTCCTCCCTTTACCGCGTTTAGTTTTAAACTCCCTGTTTAATTTAGTTTTGTCATCATTCCTAACACTATTTCCCTGTAATCTTTTACTTTGTTTACCCGCTCCCACTGCAGTTTCCCCGACCCCCGTGCCCATATAACTACAGAAATTCCTACGTTCATTTCCCCATACCAACTGGTGTAAGAAAGCATCTAGCTGCAAGGCTCACTTAGGATACAGTAAACAATATGACAGCCAAAATAATAATAATATGTCAAACCACAACGGGACACGGCTACGACTAGAATCATTAGATGCTTTCTTTCACCCTCACCTAAGTCGATACAGACAGTTTGAAAAGTGTACTGACTGACCTGGCTATGCGGGTGACGGCGGCCTTGAGGGAATCCTGGGGAAGACCTGAGTTGACCTGACACAGCAACTGTGGCAGACACTCTGGCGAGGCCCCACTGGTCTTTGTCATCACCCCGCTCACCGGCTTACTCACCTCCTCTTCCAGTGACCTCATTACCAATGTCTCTACCTGTGTCACATCAGGGGGGAAGGGAGGAGGATTTAGTATGGTAATTGACAAACATTTATACGGTTACTTATTTAGTCTAGTACATTTATGGGGCGAGAAACACAATATAGTACTGCATAACAAAATAAACCATAAAGACATACGAAAATATATTACAGTAACATAGGATTTACAATGACAAATAACACCCTAATGCAATACATATGCTATTTAATAGCTTGGTTACATCATGCCTGTTCTTATACATATCAATCCGGCTTCTACATGGGTTATTTTTTGCACCCCCCCACCCCCCGTTCTTCAGGCGTTGTGTAAAGTGAGTGTCCCAAGAATATGGGTTCTCGGTGGTTCGTTTGTTTGTTTTCCTGCTCCTTTCTTAGCAAACAACTAAGCCTAAACCGCCTCCAAAGCTTCATCATAAATGTTCCTCTGATTTTATAATGACATGGCTTCCGTGCGTCACTCTGACATTGCCCCTCCCCTCCACTTTTGTTCTCAGGACAAGATTCACCGATGAATGAAGCTCTCCAGTCATGACATCTCAGCTCCTACGTGTTTCATGACCTTCGTCGAGACTATTCCTGTCTATACATCATCTATTAACAAACTACCGGAGAAATGAATAATTAGCTTTTTATTTTAATCTTTACACATCACTCAAGGAAAAAGTTCGTTTGTTTTACTCAATGTAGGTAGAAAAAAGGATGTTAAGTGTCTTAAATTATGAACCCCGTTATACAGTGAGGAGTACACCCGCGGGCGCTGTGTGGTGCCACCCTGAAATGTCTCGTGCATCTTTGGAAGTCACTTTGGGAATGTAGGTCGAGAACTAAAGGGAGCTGTTGGAAAATATTATTTTCATTATACCACTTTTCTATTGAGTTATGTAACTGATGTTATTATCATCTTTATTTGAATGTGTTGTTAGTAATTAAGCATGAGTGAGTAGTTAACACAACATAGGTTCACAGCTAGGATCTTATGACTACCATATTATGATGCAAATTGCTAACCTCTGGTGTAGACAGACTACGGAGGTGCGTGAGCCCTGCTTTGGCCCACGCCTGCAGACCTTTCAGGTAGTCCCGTAGTGGCACTAAGATAGTAGTGGGATTAAAGGGTAGACTCCAGCCTTTGGCTAGGAGTCCGACTATTGGGGCGAGGCGCTCAGGGAAATTGTGAAGGGTAACACCAGGCAGACCATAGGCACCGAGAAAGGCCTCTATTCGGGGAATTGCTTCGTCGTACAACCTGTCCTGGGTACCTTGATTAGCTAGGAGTACCAAAAGCTGCGCCATATGTGGGGTGATGCTTCTGATAAAAGTCTCACGGTAATTTTCGTTCTCAAAACTTTCCATGAAATCACTCCAGCTGGCGTAAGCCAAAGCTTGTTTCATAGCAGCCACCATGTCGTTTGTGTTTAGGCCCATGTTCATGGTATCCCCACTCATCACCGATGACAAGAGGAACGGTATCAGTTGGCTAATGTCTCCCAGGCTGGCCATTTTGTTGTTCAGCATTGCCTTGCCAAATTGGATGGCATCTTTAATCTTGCGGTTACATTTCTTATCCGTTTGCATTGACAGAAGTATTGGTTCAAGTACATCAATGAGATTCTTCTGTCTCCTGCTTTTCTTAGATGTGGTGTTCGGCTTCGGGGTAGCTTTACTTTCTACTTTTGGGGGCTGAGATTTACTTGTTTCTTTAACAGGCTTTCGCTTTTCACTGGCTGGTATTTCTACGATTTGTTGTGCTTTGTTATTCGGTTGAGTTGATTTCTTCTTAGAATCAGGTTTAAGGAAACGCGCTGCGGTGTCTAAAATGGAGGCGACATTTATATCGTTTTTCTCTGCCAATTGACCTGCTACAGTTACCAGAGTACCTAAATCAAAACCACTGTTCCTAGGGTTTTCCTTCTTTTTGTTATTCATGGTGTTCTTTTTGGAAGGTTTTCCACTATCCATGAACATTGATGCCAGATTGATCATAACATCGAGGTCCATCTTGTTCTCTCCTCCACTCGCCAGCAGGGCGCCCAGTCCTCCCAAAAGACCACCCATCTGCTGTTGCTTTTGTTGTCCTCCTCCACCCCCTAATAGATTAGCAATGATGGGAGATAATCCCCCTCCGGCCTGAGAGCCGAACATGGCCAGGAGAGGAGCGGCTTGGGCCAGCAGGTCCCCACTCAGAAGCGGTGACAACACATCCAGCACAGCGTCAGCGTCTAAATCTACTTCGTACTCACGCAGCAGTGACGCCACAAGTGGTCTGAACAACCGCAAGGTTCTGTTTCCTTTTCCAGTCTTTTGTTTTTCTTCATTCTTGGGGCGGGTGTTGGTGGTCGTCTTGTGATCAGATTCTGTCACTTGTAACGATTTGGTATTTGATGTTGAGTTTAAAAATGAATTCATGAAAGTTGATAAATCTAGATTGCTGATGGCGTTAATTATGAGGTCCTTGGCGTTGTTATCCCCTTTACCCATGAGGGAGCTCACAAAGGCCCGGATGTCAATGCCATACTTAGCAGCTGAGGGTTGTACCAGGTCAACCAGCTGGCCGAGAGGTATCCCGGCCAGACTATTGCCCAGCTCGTCCTTTTGGAAGATTTGCTCCCACATAAGGGGTACCGTTGCCATATCTATTCCAGAGAAGAAATCTCGATAGTCATCAAAAGCCTCCAACAGCTCAGGGGAGACTCGCTCTTGTAGCTCCTTCCAGAATTGACCAAGGAGCGCACTTCGATCCTTCTGTTGCACCCCCAGCATGACTCCCTCCACCAGGAGCCTACCCAGCTCTCGCCCAGTGTCGGTATGCAGTAGATTCATCAATCCGCTCATACTGTACACCGTCGATGTTGAGTTGCCTACCACATCCAAGATCTTCTTCCTGATCTCCTGTAAGCGTGCACTGTCTCTATTGATGGGCGTGGAAGAGTGGGTAACTTCACCACCCGCCGCCCACACCGCCATCGACGCCACCACTACTACCCACACCTGATAACTTTTCCTCCACAACATATTTGTTTAGAACCGTGGATGGCTAGTTGAGTGCTGTATTCTTGGGTTACCACCTCACTCAAGCGTCCCTCACAAGTTATTCAACAGATCACTGGAGTGTTTGGCTTACTCATTTAATTCTCGTATTATATATAAAATAAGGCTTAGAGTTTCCAGAGGTCTGCTATGCGACTATCCCTGATACTTTTTTATCACTTGTCAGAAATACAAAAACACGCATTCACTTGCATCACTGAAATTTCATATATATTCGTTGCCTTGTTTCCAAATTAGTGCAAACTACACTTCTTCCCTAGTTCTTTCGGTGATGGTATCCTGCGCCTGACTGACGTGGCTCGTGGACTCGTGGAGCACATCCAGCCAGCTGATTCACCCCCCATCCCCTCGTTCACCCTCCTTGTCCCGTTACCTTCTTCCACCTTACCCAGACACCACTGTAGTCTCAGTTTCCGGAGGGTGAACATATTACTATTATTGTTTTTGTTTTTACTTCTGTGGTCGAATTTATTGTAACCCACATATACAGAGAAACTTTTCTAAAGTGTATAACTATAAGTTATTGTTTGTAACTAATATAATATCGATTAAGGTTGACCTAAGAAAATACATATATATCGAAGAACTAGGAAGCAGAACGTAAGATTGTGACAAATTTTGAAGTTCTGAACTTAAGTCGTTGACCCTCTGCCGGGGCTCTACTACGTGAAGCTGTATCCCACTCATCAGGGATATTTGAAATGACCAACTAAACTAAAAACAAATAGATGAGTATTGCTACAAACATCTTACCCATTTCTTGCAATAGAAAAACGTAAATAGCTTCTATGTTCTGTAATCTATCTCTTAACATATATAGATTATATTAACATTAAACAGTCGCGGTGCTCACTGAGTGGCCAAAGAATGATCACACATCCTTGGCATTGAAATCGCCCGTTATAACAGGTAAGAGGACCTGAGAATATGAACCTGCGGGTCCGGAGAGACGGCTGCTTTGCTCATTACCTAGGTAACGCTTATTAATCTACCTCAAGTATTACCTCAACACCACAGCACTCAGGAAGTAACTACAAGACATATGTCATTTACAACAAGAAAATGACTCGCACTAGAACGTGTTCCTGCAAGTGATATTTTACAGGAAATAATGAACACTAGAATTATATTGGTTGGTTTCCTTTTATACATGACCACCTGCCCCTTTATGTGCTAGGGAGATTAATTAGTTTGTTGGAGGAGATTATGTATGTTGGAGATTACCCGTGTAAGTAAATTTTGTATCTTTAACTGTGGCTAAGTAAAAGTAGAGTCTGTATAAGTATGACGCCATTTTTCACACCTGAGACACCCTTGGTCAGCTGAGACTTATCTAAGACTCCTGTACCCTTGATCACCTGAGACTCCTGTACGCTTGATCACCTGAGACTCCTGTATCCTTGGTCACCTGAGACTCATGTATCCTTGATCACCTGAGACTCCTGTATCCTTGATCACCTGAGACTCCTGTACCCTTGGTCACCTAAGACTCCTGTACCCTTGCCACGGTTCCAGAGGCAGCCAGAACTGTGAATACAGTCCAGAAGTGTGATTCATGGATGATAGAGAGTGGTAGTAACTCTCGACAGGAGCTGCCATGCACAGGCCAACCGGCCCATTGCAGACTCCTTATTTTCTTATGATATATAATATCACACGCGAAAAGGGAAACAACGGAGCATCTTAGCTTTCGTCTTTATTCAAGACATCTTCAGAGGCAACTGGATTACATGGACAGAGAGAGGTTTAAATATACAGGGTGACCTTATTAAACATGAGGTCAGGTCATAATGATGTCATCCACTAATCCCCACACCAACACACACGTAGAGGAGCTTAAGAGAAGGGGGCGACGTGACTAGTCAGGTCAGGTAAAAAATAAGGGACCCACTAAATAACTATCCTACATCTAGATCAAAGGTTTTCAAGGCATTTTTAACCTTGGGCCACTGACAAATAAATTTATGTAACATATTATCAGTTTTGAACTGACCATCACTAATGTTTATTGATTTTAATTCCTTAATCAAACTAGCTTCAACCAGAAGTCTTTCTGTGACACAAGATGATTTGAATACTTCTAAGCTTTTTTCCCAAGCAATGGGATGATTATTATTCCTAACATGAACGAACAGGGCACTGCTTTCAGATGCTGTTCTGATATTGTACTTATGTTGTTTGATTCTGAGCTGCAGTGTTTTTCCTGTCTGTCCTACATAATTACAATTACATTTGCTAGATGGAATACAATAAACACTTGGGCTATTTCTTATTAACATATTGGTAATGGTTGAGTCATACTTGAAAACAACATTAATATTTAGTAGCTACTGATGTTTGAGACTATGTATCATTATCTTGTACACATAGAAAGGAAAGTCACATATTTATAACGCTTACATTGAATTTTTCTTCAATTGTAAAGTTTTAAGAATATTAATTATTGACAAGAGAACTGAAAGCCTGATCTGCTGGGTGGGCTAGTTAACTGACACGACTCAAAAATAATCGGGACCTCAACTCCCCCTCCCCTCGACGACAAGGCGGTTCCTGCTATGGGGGCTAAAACACCGACAACCCCCACCCCCACCCAGGGCCGGATTTCCCTACTTGTGGGCCCCAGGCCAAACTCATCAGTGGGCCCCCAAATTTATAGAAATGTTTGCATGTTTCAACAATATGTAAGCAAAAAAAATAGTGTAAGTCTATAAGAGATACCAATATCACAAAAAATAGACACAGAAATACACGTAATATAACTCTGAAGTCCATTTAATGCAACATGTAAAATATCATTAGTAAATAATGAGTGCCGCGTACACAATATAAAATATCACTGAGCTGAGGCTGAGAAGATACTGACTGGCTGAGCGAGCTGTCAGCAAACCAACGGTAACCCTGACACGTACTGAACGCGAAATGATGCTGCCCTTTATACGTCAAGGCGCTGAAGGTTTCTTGAACTTTATTCTCTCTCTCTCTCTCTCTCTCTCTCTCTCTCTCTCTCTCTCTCTCTCTCGTATATATGTATGTATAGATAGATATATAAATAGATAGATTGGTAGATCGATGGTGGGACACGGACATTTAAAAAATGTATATATATATATTTTATTATCTTATTTTATCTTATTTTCTTCATTTTACTATAGGGCCTAGTCCGTGGCCCACCTGAGAACCACCCCATGGCCCACCAGTTGAAGACCACTGCTGGCCTATACTTATTGTACAGGGGCCCCATACTCCAGGCCCTATACTTATTGTACAGGGGCCCCATACTCCAGGCCCTATACTTATTGTACAGGGGCCCTTATGGTTGTAAATATATTATATAATGAAATACTCGGAGTACACTTGAAACAAGGTTATACGCTGGCACGCTGCGCGACAAATTAGTTTCAGGGGCCCCCAGATACCGGTGGGCCCTAGGCCAATGGCCTACTTGGCCTATTGGTAAATCCGGCCCCGCCACCCTTCAAACACCGACAATACACTCCATTCAAATACGGACAATATCCTCCCTTCAGACACTGACAATGCCCTACCTTCTTACGCCGACAATTCCCTTGCTTTCAACACCACAATGTCGTTTCAATATTAGACATAATTTGGTAGAGTTATCCACTCATCTTGAATAACTGTTACAGAAAACGAATACATGTGTACATTAAAGAAAACGTAAATATTTCACTCTTAAAGGGATAGCATGCGAAAATTCTCCTCCATAGAGCCGTCTCTAAAAGCCTGTGTGTACTTCTACTGCAGTATAATAAAGCTAAGATTTAATAAGTTAAATAAAGGGACATATTCACAAGCTATGTAATATGATAACATATTTTAGGTTTTGATGGCGTAGCTAAAAATATAATCAGTTTTAAGAGTAAAGTTTAAGTGTATAACAAAGACTTCAAAGTAAATATCAATAAAAACTGAGTTAAAGATGAAATGTCAAATAACTCGCTTTAATATATAAAGAAATAGCCTCAAATTATACAAGTAAATGGAATAATCTAATACTTTAGGAGGTAGACGTAAAAACTGAATGAACCTTGAATATTAGGGTACAGTATATATCTTGTTAGGTTAAGATCGTGGTAGACCAACAGTAAGGAGAAGTAGCATAATACACAGCCTGACCATGAAACAACATTAGCTTAGGTTAAATGTGAAAGGATTTAAGTCCGTATATTGACAATGAACTAAAATGTCTAAGACCACTGCGAGAATGAACTACTAGGATTTATCCAAAGACCGTTAACATACCTTCATAACACTCTTCAAAAATTGAGTTTCCTTCGTTTTGAAATTCTTGAGTTGGGTGAAAAGAAAGACTCAAAAGCTTATTTATGTGTGGCAATAGATTAGTGGGTAAGGGAGGGGAGGTCCGTCTGTCTGTTTCTCTGTCATACCATATATGTATAATAATCTGAATCTCTGTCGGATTGTATGTCTGTCATATCAGTTTTATGCAGAATCTTATCAATATGTCTATCTATTTGTCATATATTATTTTATTTGTCTGTCTATGTCATATCGTTTAGATATGCTATCCTGTGTCGTGTCTGTCTGTCCATATGTTTGTCTACTTATATCTGTCTGTCTGCTTATATGTCTTTCTGTCTATATCTGTATGTGTATATGCCTATAGCTGTATACTGATCTTGAGTAAAGTGGCTGTTTCAATGTTTTATTCTTCAAATACGCCATATATAGTGTGTGCAGTCAGGCTCATCCTTTAGGGGGGGGCGAACAGGGGCGATCGCCCGGGGCCCCGCGCGTGTGGGGGCCCCGCGGGGCCCAGCACTAGACCCAGGGACCTCGGACACATTACCTGTTGACTGGTTAATCTGACCTGACGGCTTACGCCACCATCGCAACCGTGACCTTACCATCCATAGCGACAGTCCCATGGGGGTTGATGGGGGTGGGTTTCTCTGACCGCATAATCTGGGGTCCCGCAGTGGCTGAATTGCCCCGGGCCCTGCACCCTCCTAGGGACGGCCTTGTGTGCAGTCATTCCAAGCATGTGCTAAAAAGTCCGATTTTATAATTAACATTATATATTATTCAGAGAGTAGTTTTGACGGATCAGCGCCATCTACAATTAGTGCGACAGACTCCAAGGTAATGGGGGAGTAATGGTTCCTTCTTGTGAGTTTCATGCTTCATATATCTTGGTTCAAATCCTATAAATATATCTAAATAATTCTTTTCATTGGTAGTTAATTTTAATCACACAAGGTTAAATGTACAAGCGATAAGGAACTGATATAATATCAAGAGTAAGATAACATAAAGCTCGTTGCGTAAAGCAGCTGAGCGAGAGCTAGTCCGAACCCCTGCACAAGAATTAACTGTATGGTTAACATTATGAGTGCAAGAAGGAAAATATTACATTAAATATAATACTTTTCTTATAGTTAAAACATAGAAATATATGAATTTAGCTGGAGTGTCCGGAAAATGTAAGAAATCATTAAACATACTTTTATTTACTGTGGTGGAAGACAAACACTGTGTGTGTTTGATGGAGGAGATCCAAGAACTGTGCTAAGATTTGGAACCAAGGTAAGCGCCTAAGCGGAGCCACCTAATTAAGACTCTAAAGCAATGAACTTTATAGATAAACATAATTTTTACGCCAGTTAATGAAAAAAAATGATATAAGATGGCAGTGGGGAGAAATTGGTACGCGTTTAGACCATTAGAATTGTCTTCTAGGTAGGAATTAAAATTTTGAGGTGGTTTTTAATTTTTTTTAATGGGGAACGAGATTGGAATAGTCACAATGACATTTTTTTATTATGAATATTACATTTAGTGATTATGTTGGAGTAAATTGACTAGGCCGTTGTCTGTGCGCCAGGTAAGGAAACCAAACATTTCCTGTTGTTTATTGGCGAATATATTGGTTCACCTGAGCTATATACTGTACATACACTTGGGTTGGGTGAAATAGGTGTACACTTTTGATAATACTGGACAAGAGTGGACGGGCCATAGCACCGACTAGAGGGAATTTCTCCATAGAAGATAAAAGCTGTAGTAGCCTTTTTCATATATATAGGTGTGGCCAAGGGTCTATAAACACATCAGAGAACATTACTCAACTGTCCACCCCACTAGGGGTCACAGAAGGTTGAAGAAGCCATAATTTCAGAAGAATGTTTTCAAACGGTTTTGCAGTGAGAGATGTAAACTCGGAAAAATCAGCAATCTTGTAGCAGACTGCTAACACCAGAAGGAGTTGTTGGATTATGTTAATTTTTTCCACAAATGATCTTTGGATGATAGTAAGTAATAAAATTGATGTGGCAATGAACAGAACCTATTAGAACCTGACCTAACCAACCAAAGAAACCTACCGAATCTTACCGAACTTCTGGAGCCCTGCGGACACCCTGCCATATTAAACATAAAGTCCTAGTACGCTCGGAGCAAGCAGATTGGTTGTTGCATGGAAACGAGCAGACGACAACATTGCTGACATGGCAGATTTTTTGGCAGAATATTTATAGTAAATAAATAATTTCTTCATGTACAAAGCATGTAGAGCCAACATTTTAGTGTCATATGATCAGTTTTTCACTGTGTTTTACCCTGCAGTTTCCCTCATCCTTCATACCCTGCCCACTACAGGTGATTTATAATCGTAGATAGAAAAAAGAAACATAATTAAAAAAAAATTCATGATATCATTTTTATTACATACTACAGGTTGTACCTCTCTTGTCCGGCATTCTGTGGTCCGGAACGATTTTAGTTTGTCCAATAGGTAGATAGGCAGCTTTTTTTTCACTTATCTGAATTATTATTATTATTACAGGAGTATTAAATTTTTGCCCCTCAGGCCCCAATGTGGGTCAGTGACTTATGCCCGGGTGGGCTAATCCCCTTAAAAAAAAAAACAAAGCCGCGGGAAATTAAGGTTTGTTTACATCCGGCAGTTCGGCTGCTTTCTCTCTCTCTCTGCTTGTCTATACAGTGTACAACATTTAACCCTTCAATATATATGAGCAGTAAATAAGTGTTGCTTTCATATTCTTATATAGAGTAATGACGATATGTTTTCACGTGCGCACTTACATACGCGCAGTCTCACTTTTTTTTTTACCATTAATGGTTAGCTACTTATATTGTTCCATTTATTAACATTAAATAACATTACAGGTACTTCAAACAACCATATTAATGTTTTTACATTAATTTTACTACAGCTAAAATCAGGGTCTTATTTTTTTTCAGTTTTATATGTAGAACCAATCAGTCACTGGTTTTGTAAGCTTTAACATAAACAATGCCGGCAGCCGTCTCGTCTCCTCTAATATTCCACGTATTATTAATAAATTGTATTGTTAATTTTGCACACACAAACATTAATTCAATAAAAAGAAATTCAGAAACATTAATTAAAATATATATGAACAGTAAACAAGTGTTGCTTTCATATTCTTATGTAAAGTAATGATATGTTTTCACGTGTGCGCATGCGCACTTACATACGCGATCTCCCTTTTTTCTTAACCATTATCGTTAGCTACTTCTATTGTTCCATTTATTTCCATTTATTATCATTAAATAACATTACTTAAAACAACCATATTAATTTTACTACAGCTACAGCCAAGGTCTTATTTTCTTCAGTTTTATATGTAGAACCAGTCAGTCACTGGTTTTGTAATCAACGAAAACAATGCTGTGTCATTTCCTCGTGTGTTTTAATATTCTACGTATTATTAATGAATTGTATTGCTCATTTTGCACACATAAACATTAATTCAATAAAAAAGGCATTCAGTAATAAACAATAATGAATCTTTTGTACATAAGAGAAATGACGCTGTTTACACGATTATGCCCATCGTCTGCACGTTGGCGGGCCGTTCAAACCCGTCGAAATTCAAGTTTCCGCCGTCAAAATTTTTATTTATTTTTTTTTTGTTCCAATAAAATACGTTAAGAATTAAAAACTCGCGAAATTTGAGAAGCTGCTATACGACATTTAACCCTTCAATATGTCTTTAAAGAGACCATGATGCAGAGAAAGTGGTGCTAGTGCTTCCAAGCATAAGCACAAGTCACAATCTATCCAGGAAAAGGGTGAATTTCCATGGTCCGGCACCGGTCAGGTTCCGAGGTTGCCGGACTAGAGAGGTACAACCTGTATCACCAAAGAATATATGTGAAAAAAATTAACAAAATCGAACAACTTTTGGTGTTAGCCATCTGCTTCAGTATTAATGAACAATTTGCCGGAGACAACGTGTTGTGACTGCACCGAGTGTGAGTTCATTCAAGACCAGACTTGATCAACACTGGTGCAGGTACAAATATAATATTGAGTCAGTATATTCCATATAGATGTGGCTGACCACCCAATGGACTAATAGGTCGATTAACGGTAAAGAGAATTACTGTAAATCAAGTAATTAAAATAACAGTTAATCTTTATTTAACAGGCATAGAATCATGAGTGCCTTTGTTATTATGATGTGAGACTAGGAACTTAGCAAAGTATCACATACACATACTGTTACCTTATATAAATTATCATTCATAAAAGGAAACCGACTAACCTAATCTAAATCAACTTAATCCAAATAATATAATAATGTTGGTAAATTTTTACTTTTGTACCTCACAAATCTTCGAAATTTTCTTTTGCATATACAGGTAAAAGTCGTTTGCGAGGGAAACATCAAAGAAGAAAAGGGTCTTGCAATTGTTTTTAACTATTGATTGCAAAGATAAAATTCCTAAGGTTTCTGTGTTGACAGAAAGTAAAATATTGTACTGTACAGTAATACCGTAATGTTTACCATAAGCAAATTAAGTTAGATAGGTTAGTTTGGATCATTTTATAACAACAAATTTTATAACGTAGCAGTATCTTGTACTGTACTGCGAGAAGTTCCCAGACTTTGATTATCATAGAAAAATAACAAGCTTCTTATCTCAAGGAACTGACATAAACTGCAGGGGGAATGTGTTTTGCATTATTACACATTTTTTTGTTTTCCATCTTCTGAGGAACTTTCCTTCGCTGCAATGCAGTACATGTATTTATTTTCTGTGATGGAGTGTTGAATCATGTCATAGATTTTTTTTAAGTGCAGCTATATTCTATAATTAATAATTCTTAAAATGAAGAAAACTAACCAACTTAACCTTACCTAAAATATTACAAATACAAGTACAGGTATATATTTTCTATTTTATTCTTCTAAAAATAAAATTCATTTTATGCAAAAAAAAAAAAGTCCTTTCTACAATCTAAACATGGCACCCTGTTTTCTTCTGTCGATTTCGGATTATACAGTAATACAGTTGTACCCCGCTTAACGCGGTCAATTGAACCCACAGGGTACCGCGTTAAGTGAAAACCGCGTTAAGTGAACAACAGAACATATGGGATTAATTCCAATAGAGCTGGCCCGACCCCCAAACTCCACTTTTTGACGACACACAACTATGTTGTAGTAAAAATATTATCTTAACTTCATGATGGTATGCACACACAATTAATAATTAAGAGAAATATCAATAATATTAGGTTTTTTAACACTTACATTAGTAGAAAAGATGGCTGGGCACAATGGGATGGGGGTTGGTTCCGAGGCAGAGGGCAGATTATTGGCCCTCACCTGTATCACTTGTATCAATTGTATCACTATCCACCATAGAGGCTTGCAGGGCCTCTTTGTCAAACCCCTCAAAGTCCATATAAGTCCATATCCTCACTATAATTATCACTATCACTGACTTGGGCCGGCTGTGGTGGGTGGCGGGTGAAGAACTCGGTAATATTTTGATGACTGGGCGACCTTGTGTGCATCGTGCCCGCGCCGCTTCCCGCGTATATGAGTAGATGAACCACGTTAAGTGAAAGTTCGGTTCTGGCGAGGCACCGCGTATATGAGAAATCGCGTTAAGTGAAACCGCGTTAAGCGGGGTACAGCTGTATGTGATATTGCGCACAACACATTCCTTATGCATTTTCTGCCATTTTCTCAAGGTAAGAAATCTTTTATCTTCTATGGAGTACAACTACACATTTTTAATGGAACCTTTTAAAAGTATACAACACAACTTGTATTTAATAAAATGCGAGTTTTTGGTCTTTGGAGAAAAAGATGCAAATAACATTTAAAAAGTTTATATGTGGTTGCTTTTAATAGATTCGAAAATATATTTAAAATTTATTTGCAGATTTCCTGGTGCTTACTGTAGTGTGTGATAGCTATATTTGAAACCGGAACAGTGTTTAAATAGCTGAACTAGCAGTTTTTAGATTAGTACTACTTTTAATTTCCTTGCAACTATTTCATGCATGATAATCACTTACAGTTGGTGTGTACTGTATTTGTATATGTTGTTTTTTCATTCCAGCAGCATTGCAGTATAGCTTCACTTATACCACCTGCTAATGATGAAACTGTAGGAAAGGAATGTAAGATTAGAATTACACAAAGTAAGAAAAATAATTAAAATATGAACCTAATCTTGTAATGCTGTGGAACATGGACCCAGGTTAATCATTAACTATAGAAGTTTTGTTTTTTATGGAAGATAACATCTTTCCTGCCTCATGACTATCCCAAAACATGGAGGAATATCTACCAGTATTATTGTAATTTTGTTTTCCCCTGGTTCTTGTTATAAATACAGTACAGTAATGCAGTGGTCATCTGTCCAGTCATGGACATTCCTTATTTCCGTTATTTGTTCGGGATTTGTTCTGATCGATTGAAACTGATGACACTGTTCTTAAATTACTCTACTGAATTCAGTCACATGCAAACCTAACCTGTTCAGGAAATATGTAGGATATGTATCTGGTATTGTGTTATTGTGTTTTTTTTTTCTCTCTTCAGATGTTGTACTGAAGCACTGTCAACACACATCAACAAGATGTGTTTCACCATAACAACATTGGATGAGTCAGGGGCAAATATTATGAACTTTGATCCATGCTACCTTCAAAATTTCTGATGTCATTGAGTGAAGAAATGTTTCAACTAGAAATTTAGTGACAACCCCTGGATTTTGGAAGTGTGTTTACATGTACAGGTTTTAAATTTTCAATAAATCAACAAAATTGAAAAATAAAATTACGAATTATATTCTTGTAATATATGAAGATATTTAGAATAATTTTATATTTAATGGAAACAATTGAAAACCATATGCAGCTCAAGGTATTGCAAGAAATGCTATGACCTTTAGAAATGTGATACTGTACATGTTATTAATTGAAACCTCACAAATTTGTGCCAAAGGTACAGTAGCTATAGCTTCCATGTGTTTCTTAGTAATGAGATGGTAACACAGCACTGAAAGATTTGGTGAAGAATGTCCCATGGTACTATCTCCCAAAGAACCATGGAGTCACTTGGTGTCCCAAATATCGATGGTGGTGGCCACTACATACGGACAATTGAATGGGATATGATGAACAAATACAAGTTTTTTCCATTGTCCATGCTGAGCTCCTTTTCAGTAAGATGTATGCTCTACCCATTCACCGTCATCAAGACACGTATCCAAATTCAGAGGCACTCTGAAATTTATAAGGGCACATTTGATGCATTCCAGAAGATATTCAAATATGAAGGTACATTACCAAGTATTTTGTACAGTGTAGTCTAGACACTAATGTTGCATTTTCATAATTTTGTTTGCTATTTCTTTTTATAAACTTATTGAGAAGTTCATTGTCGGTCTTCATACTCTTGTTTATTCCTCAATATAAGTGGAAGCCATTGAGTTTTTTTTGCATGTATTTAAACTTCTTGAGATCATGTGTATTAAAAGGATATTAATGGGGTACTGTAGAACAATGATAAAATCTACAGTATGGTACAGTACGGTATACAGGTATATTAGAGTACTGTACACTTTTTGGGGGAAGCAAGAGTGAAGACGTTATTCATATGTATTGTAACCTAGCTTAATAGATTTAAAACTTAAAGTAAGCTGTTGCAATGATTCTATAATAATTTTTATATGTTTAGTCCTTGGCTTTGTTTTAATCATACTGTACCAGTATGTACTGAATACTGCATACAGTACAGTATATGTCATATGGTGTTACGATACTGATGAGAGAGATACTGGTATATGATGGGGTGCATTGGCTAAGTGGATATAGTGCCCACCTCTTATCCTAAGGGTCACTGGTTTGATCCTCGGAAGTTACAGCATTTGAGTGCAGTGTCTGCCACACTGCCTCCATATGTACTGTATCCACATTATCCTTAATGTGCCATCAGGCCTGTGATATCCAATACCACTACTGTATTGTATCAATGAGAGGGTTGTTTCTCGCACTTGGAAGAGACCGAAGTAATAGTGTGGCCTCTAACTGTATACAGTAGATCATTCAGTTTGAATTATAAGAGAATCTTTACTGTATCAGGTATAGACCAAAAGTTTGATAGAAATTATCAGGATTTTTAATCATAATGTATTTATCAGATGTTTTATAGGTGCTGTACCTCTACAGAGGTATTACATTTTTAGTTTGTGACTTGGTAGTTTGGAAATGTAAGCTAAATTAAGTTAGCAGACTGCCTAGAATCTATAAAGATTACTATGCTATATTGTATTTAAAGCTTGATCAAAGGAGTAATACTTGTTTACCTTGTTGTTAGTCATCATAAAATTAAGAGTTGCTTAAGCAATATGTTCTCATGATGTTTAGGAGATAATTTCATCAGGTTAACTGCTACTTTTTCAACAGGTTTTGGTGGTCTGTACAAAGGTTTCTGGGTGAGTGCCTTTCAGTTAGTCTCAGGGATCTTTTACATTACCACCTATGAGAATGTGCGTCAATTCCTGCAGCAGCGAGGTGTACAAGACTCCCGGATTCGAGCATTAATTGGGGGTGGATGTGCTTCCCTAGTTGGCCAGACCATCATTGTTCCTTTTGATGTTATTTCACAACATATGATGGTGTTAGGGCAATTGGAAGGTCGAGGAAAATCAAAGGCTGTCGTCAACCCACTCAACATTGATTACCAAGGCCAACGAAAACCACAGGTAAAATGTTTTCATTGTGATTTCTCTGATAGTTATGAAGTGAACATGTGAAGTGTCATATTTGCAGGACATTGATTTTTAAGAGAAAATACATTAATCCCTCACCAACTGGAGGGAGGTTTATGTTACAGAATTCTCCCACAGTTGGCAAATCCATAGAGGGCAAGGGCTGGGTCTAATGGGCAATACAGTGTTTGGGGAAGTAATCCATGAAATGAAAGACATATATAAAGGCTTATAATGTACAGCTCAAGGTTAAAAATAAGTGCAGGGTTTGTTTTATACAGTCGGCCCTCAGTTTACGCTGTGGTTATGTTCTTATAAAGTCATCATGCAAATGGAAACTATAAAAAATAGTAAGGGCCTATGGGAAATATGTTCTATGCTCACAAGACTATCTGTATGAATTCCTTTTATTTATATGCCTATTTCTCATAATGGTTAGAAAACTCCTTTTTGTTGTAAACATATACACCCAGGTCATTTTCACACCTGGCATAAATTACAGGTACATGTATTGATGTTTCAAAGAAATTCTATGCCACATTGGGATATGTGATACTGTTGGTCTAACCTAGGTGCATACTCTTGCATTTTGTAACATTGAAACTTAACAGCTATTCCTTTGACCACTCTTGAAGCTTCACAGTCTGTTAGGTTTTTAATTTACTTGAATAACTTTGTTTATCACATATACAGTAAACAATTGTATGGAGGAAGGAATAGCATCTGGCACATTAATTATGAAACAAACAAACAACGTTGGTCTCATCGCACTGCCTTATGATACCCTGTTTGCCACAGGTACACAATGATTTTATGCCATTCATCACCACACTGCTTGCAGTCATGAAAAAAATCTTTGATCCATGCTGGGGTGTTCTCTTAAATTCCATGCCCTTCCAATTTAATTATCAGCCTTTCATGAGACACTGTTGAGTGACTTGACAAAGTCGAAGCACTGTCAGTGTTACCACTACACTTCAAGATCTGTGGCCACACATCCAGCACCATAAGAAATTACGTCAAGCAACAGCATCTTGGCATAAAACGATGCTCTTTAGCACTATGCCCTCCTCATTAGTATTGATGAGATCCAGTGGCTTTGATGTTTGTTCACCTCAATATTTGGATCCTTATTATGCTGGAACAGGAAATTGTCTCTCAGTTTTTACAAAAAGGTTTGCAGGTTTATTAACTATATTGAATACATTTGGTGTGCATGGTATTTTCATTTTTGCAGTTATCATAATTGAAGGCCCCCTTAACAGGGATGCGGCTAAAGTTGAGCACCATTGTGTTGTCTATTAAGGTTCTTAAATTTCTTTGGTTCACTAAACTGCAATTTGAGAATCTGTAAATACACCCAACAAAGAGTGCTTCTCTGCCCTTCAGTTAAGTTTTACACCATTTAAATTTTTCAAAAACATGTTCATTTGGTGTGGTGGGATTCATGTGTCATGTGTGGCGTACTCCTCAGGCCCAAGTGGCAACCATACTAAACTGTGTACAGACCATGTACAAAAAATAAAGGTCACAAATACATGACTGTGTATAAGGGAAACCACGCTAAAAAACAATGTGCAAATTGAGGGTCGACTATATGCCACCCAGAAAAGTACTTTTCCTTTGGAGTTGATGTTAAAAATATGTTTTTTGTGGGTTTTGAATACCATATATTAATATTTACCTTTTAGTACAAGATCTGTTTTTATATATCCTTTATGGGTTTTTCATTTTTCAGATTGCACTTGACATAGTAAGAACTCTATATAAAAAGGATGGTTTACGAGGATTTTACCGAGGCTACATGGCATCTATAAGTGCTTATGTCCCTAACTCTGCACTATGGTGGTCATTTTACCACTTTTATCAAGGTAATAGATTAACTAGTATTTTTAAGCTTGTTTTCATTAATTGAGTACATACCATGGAATTATGCATGTTAGTGTAAGTGGCAGTCAAATCTGTAAATTGTAATCGGTCCCTTTTATTCATTTGTTCACAGAGCAGCTAGCTCGCATTTCTCCTGAAGGGACGTCAACTTTGCTGTTGCAGTGCATTGCAGCTCCACTTGGAGGAGTTACAACTGTACTACTCACAAATCCTCTAGATATTGTGAGGGCCAGATTGCAGGTTAGTTTAGAAATTTTTTTGAGTATGATATAAAGTACAGGTCGACAACCCTTTATCCGAAATTCCAAAAACCGAAAAGCTCTGAAAACCGAAAGTTTTTTTGTGGAGCAATTTTTTTTTTGGGGGGGGGGGGGTAACAGCCCACCTGAGCACAGGTCACTGACCCACATCGAGGCCTGGGGGGTGAAAATGTAATAGTAATAATAATTATAATAATAATAATAATGATAATACAGTAATAAAAATAATTATTCATAGTAAATAATATTTTTAATAAGAAATGCACAAAAATAAAATAAGAATGATAACAATAATAATAATAATAACAATAATACTGTAATGATAAAATACTAATAATAATACTAATAAAGAAATACAAGAATGAAAAAAAGATCAAAAGTGAGAAACACAACCTACAGTAGACCTATGAATTATTATTATTATTATTATTATTATTATTATTATTATTATTATTATTATTATTATTATTATAATAATAATAATAATAATAATATTTTAGCCCCCAGGCCCCAATGTGGGTCAGTGACCTGTGCCTGGGTGGGCTGATCCCTGTAAAAAAAAAAAAAAACCTAACCATTCTGAAAACCGAAAAATTCCAAAAACCGAAATGCATCTGGTCCCAAGGATTTCGGATAAGGGATTGTCAACCTGTATATAAAACAAGGATACATGAAGTATTTCTGTATTTGGGACCTACAGTATTTTTATTGAGGATGGTAGCTGGCAAAACAGAAGTTGAGAAATTATAATACTGTACAGTACAGTGCAGTACCTGTATACCCCAATTTCTGAAATTTCTGTTATAAAAATTAAATGCAATTTTTATTGTCCAATCTTTCATTCACAAATGAAAACCCTGAATTTATTTTTCCTGTTTTCTTATTTTTTCTTAAGTAAAAATTAAATTACAGTATGTTAAAAAAGTGCTCTCTGTTCTTCATATGGAGTTATCGCTTCTTTGGTGTAGGGAAACATTTAGCCACCAGTAGTTGGCATTGCTGCCACCTTACTATTAAAAGCATATCATATATTTCATATTTTTATATCAAATGCAGTGTTTCAATAGGTAAATACTGATTCCCATGAAAATATTAATTTATTATGAAAATATAAAAGCTATACAGTATACAAGGGGTGAATGAATCAATACCATCAGTCTACTGACCTTATCCTTGCTAATACTGGTATCAGGAACATCTTGTAAATTCTGGAGCACACCCACCAAAGGGGAGCTTCCAGTTGTAAGTCTGCCATTAGTGTGCATTACTCTCTCTCTGGGCCGATGATAATTCTTCTAAAAGTTCACTTCTGCTGACACTTACTAAATGAATATCATGTACACCCACTAAGAAATTATTCGGCACCCTTACGGCGTGATACAGTATGACGCGGGTGCCGAATAATTTTTTAGTGGGTGTACAGTAATTCCTGAAGATAAGTCGTCATTACTCAGAGCCTCCACTAACCGTGATCAAATACCGTGCGGACAACATGACCAGCAAGACCATTCATTTGCCAGTAATTGTAAAATGAATTATAAAATAAATTATAAGGGTTATATCTTCAAGGTGGTTTTCATAGTCTTGCATGACCTACAGAATTTTCTGAGAAAATATCAATTCTGGTTATCGGAGAGATTCAGGTTTGAGGGATTCTACCTAAAGGAGATATTATTGGTACGTATATACAGGTGCTCCTCTGCTTACGAACGTTCAACTTACAAACTTTCAGAGATACGAACATCATCACTGAGGGGGTTACCTGCCAGAACAGGTGTTTAATGTGGATGAGACTTGTTTATTTTGAAGAAAATTCCAGAGAGAACAAACATTACCTAAGAGGAGAAGGTTAACCAGGTTTTAAGGCTGTATTAAAGGGTATAGCTGTAGTAAATATCCATGATCTTTTCATATTTTACAATATGTTTGGTATCTACATGAGTAAAGGTGGACTTACAAACAAGCCTCAGGAACGTAACTCGTTTGTAAGTAGAGGAGCACCTGTATATATATTTCATCCACATTTAAGCCTATCAAATCAATGTGATACATTATTGTATTGATGTAATTTATTTTTGTACAGTATTTCTATACGTTGAACCTTACTCCATTCAAATGTGAACGTGCCTCTGGGATTTGACTTTGATCATGTGCTACAAAACTCAGACGAGCCCCATTGAATGGGTTAATCTTTTCAGTATGCTATTTTGTTCATGTTAAATTATCGTATTATTGTACCAGCTGTTCTGCATAGTAATTGAATGCTTCATAATTATCTTGCAATAACAGTATTTCATATAGAATATTAGATAGTCTCTCACGTTAATAATTGCTATACAGTTCCCTTAATACCACCTGTAGATATTATAGATGTGTCTAGTTAAATTAATTTGGAAGAACCCACCAAAACACTAAATTTACAGATATGTAGACTTTTTTGTTATACAATTTCATTCATTCTATTACATAAAGGTGCAGAGAACAGGAGGTTTTGGACACACCTTTCGAATTTTGTGGTCAGAAGAACAACTGGGGGTCTTCACAAAGGGTCTGTCTCCTCGTCTGTTCCAGTCGGTTATCTTCTCATTTACCATCATCCTTGGCTATGAATCAGTCAAGAGGTTTTCTGTCAATGATGAATATAAGAAAGAAGTCAAGTGGTGATAGGAAATTTTTTTTTTTATATAATTTTGTAATCAACATGATAAAGGTAAAGATATTTAGCTTGACAATTTTTTTTTAGTGCTATAGTTAATAAAGTCATTCAACTTATCTTAGTCTCCCCTTTTGTTGCTAATTATAAAGCTGAGTGAATTTAGGTACAATGTGTTATATTTGACCTCCAATAATATTGTTTGTATTATTTATGAATTATGGTTTGTATGATATTTTTGTGTATTGCAAGATGAAATTTGAGATAGTTTTAATCATAAAGCATTGTCTATTTACAATAGAGTGAACATGATGAACTTACAACTTGTAATCTTTTTGAATGTCATAATATTGATATATCTGTACTCAATTTTGTTAAATTGGTTGGATTCATAGAATAAAATATTTATATACATATGATTACACATTTCTGTTTTCTTACTACAGTATGGTATTTAGTTTAACTACCATATATCTCGGCCTACAAGGCGATGGGGTGTATACGACAGCCCCCAAAATTTCCATTTAAAAAGTAGCTTTTGAGCCCTATTCGCTGTATAAGACCGGTACCCCAAATGTGACACTTACCATTGGGAGCTTACTGACCCAGTAGTCCTTTACCAACCATCCCATTGACCAGTGCTGTTTACACATCCTTGGTTTTTTAAAATAAAGCCAATTCACATCAAGTAATGGCATCAAATGTTACCGGTTGGTGTAGTGTAAACACTAGTGACTCACTTTAAAGTCTGCTAATTAACTTGAACTAATGTCGGTGTCGAATACAATTGTTTCATTTACTTGAAATGGGTTTACCGATTTATTTGTTTATTTATTTATTTATAACATACTGTAATATATTAAACACACCAAGTATTTTCTTTAATTTATAAGCTTGCTTCAACCAGCTACAGTATTCTAATTCAATAGTGTTTCATTAGGATTTGAGTGAAAAAGATTACTGTACATACTTACTACATACATTTATTACACAAATATATATATATATATATATATATATATATATATATATATATATATATATATATATATATATATATATATATATATATATATATATATATATATATATATATATATATTCACAATATTTTATAATCGTAGTCATGAACTGAATATTCTATGTAAAAAATATAAATTTTAAATGAATTATTTCTAGTGTGGTCGACTTCCTACACAAAGACAGGCTATAAATATAGCCGTCTTATCTCCCATCCGTCCCTCCCCCTCCATCCCTCTGTTCTGAGAGAGAAGGTCTTGGTAAATAACTTTTGTTTGTTTATTTTCATTGTTTGTCTAATTTATCATGTTGTATCAAAGTAATATTACTAAAAGTTTTAGGCAGCTACCAAACAGGGAGATTCTACTGCCTGGGAAGATATTGGAAGCATAATGTACATGGCTTCCAAAGACAAGACAACTTCAAGATGAAGTCAGAAGATGGCCAGGAAGGAGTTTAGCCTGAAGGACAAGCAAGAATTATATATATTATGCTGCAGGTTAGTGATTCAAAAGTGTTTGTCTATTTTTGCCACCACGTTGGAAGATCCGGAGCATTTTGTGTCCGGTTTAACAGAAATTAGTCCGGAGTGGTTTGCCAGTCTCGATTAAGGGTACAGTGGGGTATGCTATAACGAACGGATCCTACTACGAATATTCCTATAACGAACGGTTTTACTTATAAAATTGAGAATGTTATAACGAACGAAACTCCTACAACGAACATTATTTAAAAAAAATTTTTTTTTTTTTTTTTTTTTTTTACTAATTTATTGTTTTTTATTACAAATATTAATGATATTCTTTATTTCAGGGGTTTAGATGCATATTTATGCACTTTTTTACAATTTTATATTAAATTTTTCAGTGTTAAGTGGTTGTATTTGGGGGCCTGGAACGGATTAATCCTATAACGAACGAATGCTATAACGAACAAGGTTCTAGAACCAATTAGATTCGTTATAGCATACCCCACTGTATTTTACTGTAATACTGTATACTCAATTATTTAGTAGCACAATTCTATTATCTGAGTGAGAAGTATGTGCCATTTAAATGTGGCTTGAAGGGATGTAATATACAGTAAATTAATAAAAATATTTCGACAAAAAAAGATGACCTGATATTTTCCGTAATGAATAAAGTTAAACAAAATAACCTGCAAATTGTATTTAACAGAGTTTCCACAGTCATTAAAATTCCTGAAAAATCATGCAAATAAAATAAATCACGGACAATCTGGAAAACTTAACAATCACGGAAACTTCATGGAAAAATAGAAGACAAAAACTTTCTAACAGTTGTCATGACTGATTTTGAAAATTTGTTTTATTATAAACTGCATTGAGCATAATTTCTCTCCAGCATTTAATGCATTCATATTACAAGTACTATGTATAAGGGTAAGAACCTAGAAGAACATTATCTTTTTGGTGATGGAATTTGGTGACAGTATACTTAGTTACTAAATTGCCATTTGTTCCAGTTCCACTCATACATAATGTAATACCTTTCACAATATTTTCTCTAGGAATTTACACAAAATTTATACTGCGTAATCATATTATAAAGGAATTTCTGTAGACATTTAAGATTGATGCTTCTTGCTTTCACACACCCATATAGTCTCACAGAACAGGTCATAATATATGACAGTGATACACTGCAACACATTAATCCCTTCAGTCCAAGGGCTTGCCCTCAGCTCAAAAAAAAATTGTTTGATTAACCAGAAAAAATTCCCAATTGTCATCATCATTATAAAATGATTAGGGGAGAGAAAACTACAATGTATTACCATACTTTAAATTGTAGAATTTCAATTAGGCATGGAATTTTTGGTTAAGATTAGGTCAGGTTCTAGAGAGGTCTTTCAAGACCAGACTTGACCAACACTGGAGCAGGTTCAGGTATATTCAGGAGCCAGTGCATGCCCAGTACTTGCCAATAGTGCGTAACAGAGACGTGACCGATCGCCCAAGCAGCTAACGAGCCGATCAGTGGTGAAGAGGATAAAAAAAAAATAGCTTCTGTGCATTCTCATTTAAATTTTCGTGTTCATTATCATGCAAATAATATCTTCAGAAATTTTGGTTCAATTCCATAGGTTATTTCTGGTGTTAACCTTCTCCTCCACCTTTACCAATCCCTTCAAGCTACATCAGAACCGCCCATACTTCTCACTCATATTATAATTGTGCTATTAAATCATTTGAGCACATTAATTAACATGTGAACATAGGCCATGGGAGTATATAGTTCCTTATGTGCCTAGACAGTGCCAACACCTCCTTATATACTGAGTTTTATTGGGAGAAATAGGAAAAAAAGATATACATAATTTATTTTAGTGTCAGAAATTAAAATTTTTCAAGTATTTTGACAAAATTACCAATGTGGGCAGGGCTTTGAAATAAGGAAAAAATGTGAGGTAAAATACTAAACAAACTTTTGAAAACCTTAACTAACTTTCCTAACCTTTAACATTACTAAAACTAAAAAGCTTACATTAATTATGTTTTCGGTGTTTAATGTGTGATGTTTTCGGTTTTTAGTATGTGATGGTGTTACTTTCGGTTTTCAGTATGCGATTGTGTTTTCGGTGCTCAGATGTGGGGGCTCCATTAACTCAAAACGATTCTTACTTTTACTTTTATCCTCTTCGCCACTGATCGGCTTGTTAGCCGCTTGGGCGATCGGTCACGTCTCTTTTCATTTATATTCTTCACCAAAAGATCAGCTCGCTAGCCGCCCGGACTATCGGTCACGTCTCTGTCACGCACTGTTGGCAAATACTGGGCATGCACCGGCTCCTGAATGTACCTGAACCTGCTCCAGTGTTGGTCAAGTCTTGTCTTGAAAGAGCTCACACTCGGTGCCGTCACAACACTCTCTGGTAGATTGTTCCAAGAGTTTACAACCCTCACTCCGAAAAAGTTTGCCCTCACGGTTTTCTGGACTTGCGGCTTCTTCAATCTTGAGCTGTGACCCCTTGTGGGGTGAGCGTCCGCCAGCTCCAAGTAAGGACACTCGACTGAGTAGTGCCCCCTGAGATGCTTATACACCTCAACTAGGTCGCCCCCTTGCCCGTCTGTAGTATAAGCTAGGCAAGTTCAGGCGCTCCAATCTCTCAGGGTAGCTGAGGTGCCGAAGGGCAGGCACCAGTCTGGTGGCCCTCCTTTGAACATTTTCAACCAACTGACAGTCCCTAGCATATCTTGGGGACCAGATGGGGTGACAGTACTCCAGATGGGGAAGCACTTCACTCCTGAAGATCGTCACGAGGGACAGACCGTCTAGATATCTGAACGACCTTCTTATAAGACCCAATAATTTATTTGCCTGATTTACCTTCTTCTCACAATGGCCCGAGAACTTCAGCTCATTGTCAACATACACACCTAGGTCCTTCTCACACACAGTCTCAACTAGTGTGTGAGAAGGACCTAGGTGTGTATGTTGACAATGAGCTGAAGTTCTCGGGCCATTGTGAGAAGAAGGTAAATACGTACGTCATTTAAGCAAAAATTTTACATTTCCATACAGTGGTACCCCACTTAACGCGGTCAATTGAACCCAGAGGGTCCCGCGTTAAGTGAAAACCGCGTTAAGTGAATAACAGAACATATGGGATTAATTCCAATAGAACCCAGCCCGACCCCCAAACTCCACTTTTTGACGACAAATAACTATGTTGTAGTAAAAATAACATCTTAATTTTATGATGGTACATGCACACAATTAATACTTAAGAGAAATACAGTCGCCAAGTTAATGTCCATTCAAATAATGGACTCAACTCCCTCCCCCTCTCACACTACACAGCCAGCTAACAGATGGTCGGTCGGTCCCTCCCTCCCCCCCCCCACCCCCCACCAACCGTCCCAAGGAGATGTGTGGGATAACCTCAAACTAAAGTTAGGAAAATATAATTGACATTGCTGGATTCCTTGTAAGACCAGGAATATTTTGAATATAAATGTCATATATTTTTCACAAAAGATAACATAATTACCTAGAGAACAATTTTTATCTAAAAATTGTATGTTTAATGCAAAATATATGTTGTTTATATTCAAAATGATCACCAAATTATAAGAATTCCAGCAATGTAAATTATATTCTGGCCGGATAATTTGTATGAATTTTATGAGCTAAAACAAATATCTACAGTTAATAAAAAAAAAAATATATTCTTCAACACTATCTGTCAATCAAAGTACCCCACCTTGCCTCCCCCCCTCTTCCAACCGCGCGGTCAGTCCCAACCCTCCCCCCACCCCCCACCAATCCTCCATTCAAGAGTTTTTAACATTTAGTATTAAATAATACCTCAGATTAAAGTTAGGATAATATAATTGACATTGCTGGATTCCTTGTAAGACCAGGAATATTTTGAATATAAATGTCATATATTTTGGACAAAAGATAACATACTTACTCAGATTAAACATTTTATCTAAAAATTGAATGTTTAATGCAAAAAATATGTTGTTTATATTCAAAATGATCACCAAATTATAAGAATTCCAGCAATGTAAACTATATTCTGGCTGGGTAATTTGTATGAATTTTATGAGCTAAAACAGGCAGTCAGGCAGGGTGGCGGGTGGGGGGTGGTGCGAATCTAAAAATAGCTCTCGAGCCGGACACTCACCGCGTTGCTGTGGAAAAATCCGCGTTAAGTGAAAGTTCAGCTTTGGCAAGGCACCGCGTATATGCGAAAACGCGTTAAGTGAAAGCGCGTTAAGCGGGGTCCCACTGTATGTTAACTATATCTTAGAATGACCAATAATTTAAAAAAAAAATGCAAAAATACTCAAGTGCACAACTTTCTTGATATTTACTCCACTGGAAACGAATGTAAACATAGAACCAATTATTGTATTGGCGGACTGGCCGATCAGCTGATGCGCACAGCAAAACGTGTTTCTAGTAAAGCTTTCGTTATTCGAAGTTTTGTTCGTTAATTGAACTGAAAATCCTTATGGGAGCTAATTAGTTAACTGAAATTTTTTAATTGGACCGTTCGTTAATCGAGGGTCCACTGTATATATATAAAATATCCATTTTCGATATTCCTGTGTGTGGTGCGGCAAACAGACGCCACCCTTTCCCGCCTCAGACACCCGCTGCTTCGAGAAGCCTCAGTCCACACGTGCCTACCGTACTGTGAACGTTACTGTGATTACCTCTTCTGTTTGTCCTCTCACGTGCATTCCACATGGTCCGGGACATAAGCCAGCTTCATCAAAGGCAAATATTACTAGCAAAGACTCTAAAGTGACCAAGAGAACAAGAATAGTGATGACCTTAACAGAAAAAACAGTTTTATTGGACGAGCTCAGAGGTGGTATGAGCTATGGCTCGAGATGTGGTGAAGACTGACAAGTCATTTGTGTCTTTTTGTCAGAATACAAGTTTCAAGTGGAGGAATGTGGGTGGAAGAGGACTGGCTGGCGTGACTGTGTGAGGGCGGGCAGATGCCGGGACGGCAGGGAGAGGCTGGCAATGCGGGTGTTGCCGACCTCAGCGAAATATAAACATTTGTATTTACTTGTAAATAAAATTTTTTTTGTATATAACTGTGTTTACATTTTTCCATTATTATACTACAATATGATTAGTTTCAAATAATGTTGTTCGTAAATGCCGGTACAGTGCATCAGTGATCAGTGTGACCACTGGGCCGTGAGAGGAGAGCATGGCGTGGTTAAGTGCATGACCTACCTGAGCTGTTTGGTGGCCACAGGTACAGTGATTCCTAAAGAGTATTTGCGGTTTGGGCTTTTTGCGGCGGTTTCTGGAACGTAATTCCCGCGAAAATCACAGGATTACTGTCATTATTTCTCCTTTGCATTTCAGTTTTTGCCCACAAGTTTTCTCAACTACTCACCTCCACCAAACTGTGAGTTAATTGATTCTGTGGATATATATTGTGAAGGCTGTTGATTTACGGGTCATAACTGTTACATGTACAGTACTTTAGTATTCTGCTGTCATCATGAACACATTACTGTTTTCCAAAAATGTTCATTTCTTCTTGGATTATGACATGGATAAAACATCTCCATGTTATTATTTATTTGAAGAAGGAGCAAGGCTGTCATGTAAAACAATAGGGTGATCCCAGAGAGAGTACAACCACCAGCGTTGTAATTCCATATAAATCTAAACAAAGCCATAACTAATGATACCTTTAATAAAATGTGGTCATACAGCTAATAGATATGGTCACTTGAAAACCATAATAATATCCGCCACATACCGCTCGTTCTGGCTCACAGGGATATCACTGATTAATGTTGTTTTTCTATCTCCTTGCCATGTTGTCACCTCCTGGACATATCCAAAATGGCTAGCGACAGACTCACGAGTTTTATAGCTACTAATGACTGCAATAACCATAAGAGTATTTCAGATAGGAATATAAATCTGCAGGAAGGCAAACCTTTCACATTTTAGAACAAGTATCTGCCCCATAGAGTTTAAGTAGGTAGTAAGCAGCTACCAAACAGAGAGGAACTACTGCCTTGGAAGATATTGGAAGCATAATGTGTTGTCTAATGGTAGACCCTGCTGCCATATGTGACCAAGTCCCAGGTTTATGACCTGACTTTCTGCCTCATTTACACACAATTGCAGGATCTCAATTGTTTCTCTTACTTGGACAACACAACATACATAATAATATATATCGTCTCTCAATCATCTTAATTTACTTTTTTCATTTTTGTATTTATTTATTATTACAGTATACAGTAGTCTGGATTTGCGCGGATTTCCTTTACGCGTTTGGTCATTTACGCGGTACCTGGCCAGACCGGCAATTATTAGTTATGCGGGAAGCGGCCGGGGAGGGTGCGCATTAGGTCGCTCTTACGATATCGCTGACGTCATATGACGTATCGGACTGTGATTGGGCGACGCATCCTTACCTCCCTCCGCCGCTAGCTGTGATTGGTCTAATGTAACATGACGTGGCCTGCCACCAGAGGGAATAAGCCGCTGACCTAAGCTGTGCCAGTCTCATTGTTCTCAGTCTCTGCGTATACTGTTCTCTCTTGTGCCCGCTATTCCCCTCACAATGGCGTCTGCTGGACCCCCACCACCCCCGAGAAACCTTGAACTACCTGGACCAAGCCATGGTTATGTGAAGGAAGTCATCGAGTTGGCGGAGAAAATCAATCTCATCCTTGACAAAGACACAGTCAATCATCGGTATGAAGTGTCTAATAACTTCCTCTCGAAATTTATGGAGCCGTATGTCCAGATGTATCACGACCACATCAATGCTAGCCGTCAAAGTAACATTACCGAGTTCTTCGCCCGCAATCCACCACAACCACAGCCAGCCCAAGTCAGTGATAGTGACAGTGACGATATGGACTTTGAAAGGTTTGTCAGGGAGGCCCTGCAAACCTCTGTGGTGGATAGTGATACAAGTGATTCACCGGAGGGCCACTAATCTGCCCTCTGCCTCGGAACCAGCCGCCATCCCCGTGTGCCCACCCATCTCTTCTACTAACGTTAAACACCTTCATATTTGTACAGTAGTGTTAGTTTTTTATTTATATATTATGTGTGTGTTCATACCATCATAAAATTAAGATATTATTTTTACTACAACGTACGTATTGTGTCGGAAAAAGGGTAGCTTGGGGGTCGGCCCAGTCTCTATTTCAATTAATTCCGTATGTTCTGTTATTTCGTTTACGCGTTTCTCGTTTTACGCGGACCTCCACGGGTTCAATTGACCACGTAAATCAAGACTATACTGTATGATTATTATTATTATTACTATTATTATTATTAATATTTATTTTTATTAATTTGCTATTAATTTTATTAATTGTTGTAATGATAATAATAATAATAATAGATATTATTATTATTATTATAATTATACAGTAATTATATTTTTGCCCCCAGGCCCTGATGTGGGCCAGTGACCTGTGCCCGGGTGGGCTGATCCCCGTATAAAAAAAATATTAATTTTGTAAAAATGACATATTGTACAAGTTGATATTAGTATCTGTATAACATGTACACCCACAAAAAAATGTTGTCCGTCCCATCAGTGAACCCCTTGATCCTCAGTGAGTATGAGACACCACACAGTGTTGGGTCCATAGATGGTGCAGTGTGTCATGGACGGGAGAGAGAGGACTGACACGACTTTTTTTGGTGGTTCAACATCAACAATGAGGGCATTCAAACAATGACAAACAGGAAGGAGGTTCAATCAAGGACAGCTCAAGTATGCCAGTTTCTACTGCACTTTGAGGTGAAGAAGTGTGATAAACGCATCATTATGGTACTCTGGAATTTCCAATGTTCCGGACCATCCAGTGCAATAATTAGTCTGGTAAAATAGTTTATGACTGAAGGAAATAAAACTTGTAGGGGGATATAACGTATCAAAATTATATGATCTGTATAGATTGTGTTTCCTGACAAAACTGTTCTGTGTAATTTTTATTTGTTATCAATACTAATTATAACAATTTTTACTTGAAAAGGTAACAGTGATGGGAGCCCCAGAGATAATAACAGCAGAAATAAACCCCAAGACAATAATGATGACTGGCACATCCAACATGATCATGGGAGCCAATGGGTCTCCAGTCACTCACACAGCAACTCTCAGCCGACCACAACTGTTAAACTTAACTTTGCATCATGCTCCTCAAAGCAAGTCTCCATCAGTTCTTCGCAAGTCCTATTGAAGGATTAGTTTTTTAGCGTTAAGTTTCTGTTTATTTACTGATATATGGTAAGTATGTTCATGGATTAATGTTCAAATAATCACTACTGTGTAGTGTAGAAATCGGTGGATTTTCCATTTTTTATAGGTAAAGATTCTTGAGTATGTCCTAGTCTGTGCCAAGTGGGTTTAAACATGCATTACATTAAATAGTTATCTGTCTTACATTATTGTGTGGTTGGTAAATAATGTAGTAGTACAAGATCACTGGTACCTTTTTTTGAGTACACATATACGGGGATCCAGCTAGAACGAGTACTGTACTCTCTTTGCTGACCCATAGGCGACTGCCTCGGGCCACCGATTCCCCTCCATCGGCAGGCCCAACATATCGTACCTCACACATAATTATCTCACTAGACTCCATATTTTTGTCGTCACATTAATTTGAAAAAAAAAAAGAATAAATAAATAAATTATACCAAAAAAATTTTCATTAAAAGTCAACATCTCCTAGAATTAACTTTTGGGACAAATGTCAAAATTCTATTTCATAAAGAATCAGGATATGGCATTCAGAGTGCCATGAATTAGTAATTCGTGTAACAGTAAGGTATACAGGTAGTTCTGCTATAACGCGATAATTGTGTTCTTGTAAAATATCGTGTTATAGAAAATCGCGTAATAGAAATAACAGGGCTTATGGAGAAAATAGGGTTAGGTGCAGATTACTCGAAATCGAAAAAATTTAGTAGTTAGCCTAACACAAAGGATAGCACAGTCTAAATAAATGTTACATTCATATCTAATAATGAAATCATACAGTAAATGTAATACTTTACCTTGACAAAATATGAATGTAACTTGATGGGGGAGAAGGGTGATTTTGAGGTTGATAACATCGAGCTTCTCTTCAAGTGTTATATCCTTTCTTTTACGATCATCACCGGGAATTCTATCACCAGAACGCTTCTTGGAGATATTCTTCTTTACCATATTCACAGTTAATACCACAAAATTGGAGAAATAGTAAGCAAAAATCGCGTTATAGCAAACAAGCGTTCGCGTTATACAAATATTGTTCCTAATTCATAAATCGCGTTAGAGCAAATTCGCGTTATCAAAACACGCGTTATAGCAGAACTCACTGTACCATAATCTGGAATTTGGACGGTAGTGTACAAAGAGGCCAGTGTAAGACTTACAGAGGACTTAACAGTACAGTATAAAGCACAACATGAGACTGATGTTGCATCAGCTTCTTTTTTTAGGACACATTAAGAAATCCACTACTGAATATGAAATACTAATTATGTAAAAATTAAAAAAAAATATATTTGTAAAATGTTTTGTTAAATAGATAAAAAATGATTAATAAGTTATTCTTACCCTCAATATATACAGATGAACTAAGCATTTTTTTAACAAAAATGAAAGTTGTTGACAATATAAAAAATATTTAGAAAAGAAGAAAAAAATTGATATCCAGCCTGAAAAACTTAAGAGCTGTGACTACAAACTGGACAAGCTGAAGCTGATGATCCTATTAAATATACCGTATTTTATGGCATATAAGACACACTTTTATGTCTGAAAATGGCGAAAAAAATCATACAGTACTGTGTCCTATATGTGAAGTTGCTGTCTCCTAATGAATCCCCTCCCCCCGTTCACCATTTATCCAAACCATGGTCAGTCCTGTATGGGAAACTAATGTTAATATTTTCGTTTTGACAGTTTATCTTCTATGCCATTTACAAATTTTTTTCTGCATTCTTTACACTAGAATTATCATAAAAATAATTTGGTGTTCGTCATCATGCCCTCTAGTGTGATGATGCTGATAATCTCTTCCAGTTTTTCAGGTGTGTCAACCACAACCAAGTGACCACCATCCAATAAACATTCATCCTTGGCTGGGTACATTTGGTTCCCAGTCAACACCAAGTGGTAGAACCTCTCGCCACACTTTCTAGTCAGTTGACATGAAAAATAAGTAGATCATAAAATATATACTGTATATATATTATTATTATTATTATTTTTTTTTTTAATATATTATTGGGCACCCCCCTACATTCTTGTGTAAGGTGAAGCGCAGAAGCGCTTACAGTGCCCAACAGGGAAGCATGCTAAGTTCATGCTTGCCTTTATGTCTCACGAGTTAAGGGCATAGAAGCCTGAAGAGTCAAGGGCATAGAAGCCTGAAGAGTCAAGGGCATAGAAGCCTGAAGAGTCAAGGGCATAGAAGCCTGAAGAGTCAGTGGTTTATGTCATCAAGTTATTGGAAGCTCCAACAACTTGTCCCTGAATAAGAATTCGCAACTTTTGATTTACACCAGGTACCTACTTTACTGCTAGGTGAACAGGGACTAATGGGGGCTAGGAAGTATGCCCAAACAACTTCCACCTGCCCGGGAATCGAACCTGTGACATCTCGCTTGCGAAGGCAAGAGCGGTACCACTCTACCACCAGCGCCCCCCATAAAAGAATTGTAAAAATAAATTGAACAAAGTACAGTAAAGAGCGGGAGAATATGATGAATGATAATTAAATACAGTATTACCTTCTTGTTTCTGTATTATAAAAGTGAGTAACCTGGAACCAAGAAAAAAATTTATTCAATCACTCAAAGGTGCAAAGAAGTTGGGAGCAAAAAAATACTTTAAGATGTTACAAGTGATCACATAGAAAAGATTTCTGAAGTAAAAATTTAATAATACTGTACAGCAGTGTACAGAGAATTATGTCTAAAAACTGGAACAAAAACTCAGCACTACTGTATGTGGACAACTAGGGCACCAACGTGTGTTTGTAGGAAACGGAACAAAAATTTGTATGCAAAATTAAGGTTAATATTAATGACGAGCTAAATAAAATGGGAACATTCGAATCTATTTGGTGTAATTTGATAGATCAAAACAAAAGCAAGCTGACAGTAGGTGTGTGCACAAGCCCTCATCATGGGAAACTTTAATCATGACGTTATAGACTTGGTGAATCTTATCACACATGCCGAGGGAGAAGAATTCCTTGAACTCATTCAAGACTCATTCCCTACACAACACGAGAGAACACAACATTCTAGATTAAGTCTTGGCGACTGAGGAGGCTATGGTGGACGAGGTCCATGTCGTGTAAAAACTAACTCTGACCAGTGACCACTACATACTAAGATGGAATACAATCTTTGATAGTCAAGAGAAAGTACTTGAGAAGGATTACAGCTCCTCCCCAACTTACGACTTACCCGACCTACGACCACCCGCCA